AAAAGGTCTTATGGTTACAGTGCTTCTTGCAGTAATTCAATAAATTTATTAAAAGTTCAGCTTTCTTATGACTGATCTCACCATGCAGGTTGTATGTTTGTTTTGTTTTTTATGGGGGGGTTGGACCTACGATAACAGCTTTGGTCAGATGCAGATTTTTCGTACTTGTCAAAAATTTTATACAGCTTCACATCTTGAAATATGATCCTTTTTTTAGGGCTGTCAAGTGATTAAACAATAACAGAATACCATTTATTTAAATATTTTTGGATGTTTTCTACTTTTTCAAATGTATTGATTTCAATTACAACACAGAATACAAAGTGCACAGTGCTCACTTTATATTTGTTTTTGATTACAAGTAAAAAAACAAATACACCTTATACAAGTACTGTAGTGCAATCTCTATCATGAAAGTCAAACTTTCAAATGTAGAATTATGTAAAAAAACAAAACAAACTTACATTCAAAAATAAAACACTATAAAATTTTAGAGCCTGCAAGTCCACTCACTCCCACTTCTTGTTCAGCCAATTGCTCAGACAAGAAAGTTTGTTTACATTTGCAGGAGATAATGCTGCCCATTTCTTGTTTACAATGTCACCTGAAAGTGAGAACAGGTGTTTTCATGCCACTGTTGTAGCCAGTGTCGCAAGATATTTATGTGCCTGAGGCACTAAAGATTTGTATGTCCCTTCACACTTCAACCACCATTCCAGGGGACATGCGTCCATGCTGATGACTGGTTCTGCTCGATAACCATCCAAAGCAGTGTGGACCGACGCATGTTCATTTTCATTATCTGAGTCAGATGCCACCAGCCAGTGGTTGATTTAGTCGTTCAGGTTCTGTAGTTTCCGCATCGAAGTGTTGCTCTGTTAAGACTTCTGAAAGTATGTTCCACACCTCGTGGAAGGCACTTCAGAGTCTTAAACCTTGGGTCGAGTGCTGTAGCTGTCTTTAGAAATCTCACATTGGTACCTTCTTTGTGTTTTATGAAATCTGCAGTGAAAATGTTCTTAAAACAAACATGTGCTAGGTCATCATCCGAGACTGCTAGAACATAAAATATGTGGCAGAATGCAGGTAAAACAGAGCAGGGGATATACAATTCTCCCACAAGGAGTTCAGTCACAAATTTAATTAACGCTTTTTTTTTTTTTAAATGAGCGTCATCAGCATGGAAGCATGTACTCTGGAATGGTGGCTGAAGCATGATGGGGCATACAAATGTTTAGCATATCTGGTGCATAAATACCTTGCAATGCCAGCTGCATAAGTGCCATGCAAATGCCTGTTCTCAGTTTCTGGTGACATAGTAAATAAGAAGAGCATTATGAGCCTGTAAATGTAAACAAACTTGTT